GGAATTGATGCAGTTCCCGATCCTGTTCCGTTCTGGATTTGCTCGATACGTGTTCCTGACGTTCCGGATTTGTCGATAACACACCATTCAGAGTGTGGTGATTTAGAGTGCTGATAAAAGTGCTGCTGCTGCCATTGATAACGCTACATGTTTACTGTGTCTGCTAATGATACTGGTGTGATAAGAAGATCAGCAGCTGATATCAGTTGTTTTTGTCTGTTGATAGTGCTACCGAATGTGTGTTTATGTGCTCATATCGTCTGTCATCAAATAACCAGTTTCCAGCGCACTCTCCAATGACCCGTCTCAACCTTGACATTCGAAATTTTTTCATTTCATCGAGCATACATACATACATCGTATTTAATGTATGAAATTTTCATGTAGCATGCCTGCCCTGCTTGGCGCTTCACTTGGATCTTCACTTGATCTGAAATCGAAGATGAGCATTTGGGTGATTTTCACGGCCATTTCATGTTGGCTAATCGTGGCAGCATCGGCAGCAAAACAGCCCAGTGAACTGGAGCCTCAGCGAGTTATAGTGCACACCACAAGAGGTGGGTACTTTGTGGTACTTCGTGGAAGTCGGTGAATTCAGTGATTTCAGGTTGAATTCAATTTTGAAATTTCAGGTGACGTGCGAGGGTTTCACGTTCAGAATGCACTGCTGAAGAATATGTACCGAGGCGAGGGGGACGTGTTTCTTGGTGTACCGTATACCGAGCCACCCGTAGGCGAGAGACGCTTCAAGGTGCGCTACTTTTAGAGAGAGTTTCGTTACTTTTTAGTTACTTTTGTTACTTTTCAGAAGCCGCAGCTGATTGGCAACTACGATAAACTGATCGAGGCCAACAAATACGGTGCCATATGTCCGCAGTTCGAGGGTGAGAAACACGCCGGAAAATACCACACCGGTATGGCCGAGGATTGTCTTACGCTGAACATCTTCACTCCAAATGTAAGTGAAGTGGCCGACCTAGTAGACTGCGGAAGAGTTACCCAAATCTTGGGTAAGTTTTACCCAGGTAAATTTCAGGCGACAAATAATGGCGCTAAATATCCGGTACTGGTCTATATTCACGGTGGAGGCTTCAAATTCGGCGATGTAGCGGAGTGGATGTATCACGGCATCGTGAGTAATATCGTTCGGCGTCAAGTTATCTTCGTCTCATTCAACTATCGTGTCGGCATGTTGGGTGAGCCCTGAATTCCGCTTCTGAAACTAGGAGTTCCACCGGAATTCGATACTTTTCCGGGGACGTTCCGGACGGACTCGATGGCTGTTCCGGACGGACTCGATGGCTGTTCCGGACGGACTCAATAGCAGACCCTTCTAAAAACCTTCGATAGAGTTCCGCAATCCGCAGGATGTTGCCACTTGATATAATTGCGCAATCTGCAGGTTTCTTCACAACCTTTACCGAGGAGTTCCCACCGAATCGTGGCATCTGGGATCAGATCACGGCACTCCACTGGATCCATCAGGAGATCACCAACTTCGGAGGCGATCCCTCGAAAGTGACGCTAATCGGTCATTCGGCCGGAGCCTGCAGCGCCTCGTCGTTGGCGCAGTCGCCTGCTGTGGACAGCTGTCAGTTGATGCTCTGCCTTACTCTGCCATTAGATATCTTTAGGGATTTAGAGTCGGATTTTGTGGATTCAGTCCAGCCAGCTCAAAGCTAAGCTAAAGTCTAGGTAAAACTCACAAACGGCTAAATCTCACCCCGAACTGAACTTTCGGATTTCTTCAGATTTTTTCAATCTCATCTACGGATTTCAATTTTCGATCTTTTGCAGCTCTTTTCCGAGGCGTGATCCTGTTGAGTTGTGCTGCTGAGGTGTGTTTCGATAACGTTTACGGCCGTTTCACACAGTCGCTGGATCGCGCTGAACAGGTAGCTGCCGGTGCTTGCCTGCTAACTCTTTAGATGGATTCGATAGATGATTTGCATTAATAAAGAGCCGATCGATCTGTTTAGCTGATCGATCTTGATCTGTTNCGAAATTGACGCACGAGAAGCTGAATGCACACGAAGGCAAGGTTCGTCGTCGTGTTGAATACTGGCATAAAACTGATCTGATCTGTTATTGATTTGATCTGAGCTGAGCTGATCAGTTATTGATCTGATCTGAGCAATTTCAGACGTTCCGTTGGAATACGGTGGTGGACGGTGAGCTATTCACAGACGTTCCGTCGAAAATGAACTGGAAAAAAATTCCCGTTCTGATGGGCTCTACCGAGGACGAATATGCACTATATGGTGTGTGTAATTGATGTGTGCTCATATCATTCTTGGAAATCGGCGATTGCAATTTGGGAATTTTCCCGGGATTTCTGAACTTTCCCGGGAAATTTATGCTGGAATAAAATGAGGATGGGATTTCAGCTGAATGGGCTCTATCAGCGGGCAAAACAAAATTATCGGATTATACGGCCGAATTCGCTGCGAAGACTATTCGACAGTGGGTGACGTTGATATTTGGCTCGGAACATGCGGAGAGAGTTTTGGAATTGGTACAAAAAGAGTACCCACCACCGTCGAAAGCAGCTCCGAATATCGAGCAGACCAAATATATGAACAGGGTTAGTCAAGTTTCCCAGGTTTTGGGAAAGTTACCCGAAATTCGACGTACTCGCAGAGATTTACCCGCAGATTTTCAGGTGCTCTCCGATCTGATCTATATCCGTGCTGTGGGTGATGAGGCCAGAATGCACCTGCAACAAGGCAACCCGAATGTTTGGCTTTGGCAAATCGCTTTCCACACGGATTACTATTCGTTCTACACGTATCCGGACTACAAACGTTGGTATTTCGTTGGTTCATTTCCCGTGGGGAAATTGGACTTCCCATGAGTAAGCTGACGTTTTGCAGCCGTTTTCCATGGAATGGAGCTGTTTCTGCTGCTGCAACCGGATTACGCGTGGACCGATGGGGATCAACCGAAACGTTGGGGTAAAGCCGAGGAGATGGCCGCCGATCGAATTGCCCAGGAATTCACGGATTTCACAAAATACGGGTGTGATCTTCAATCAATAACTGATCAGTTCACTGATCAGAATCGCTGATCAATCAATTGTGATCAGTATAATCGATTTCAGAAAGCCATCAGCCAGCTGGGAGTCACTGAACATCAAACAAATGAATTTCTGGCGTTTCGACGGCAAGGACCTAGTGAATAATCGTACAGAGCGATTCTATGCGAGCGGCTACGGGGGCCGGGGTTATGCCTTCTGGCGACGGGTCGCCGAGGCCGTCCGATCCGGAAATTTGGCCGATTTCGACGACGCGGCGAAACACTCGGAACTTTGACACTCGGATCGATCACTGGTCATTGATGATCACTGATCAATCGATAATCGATCGATCACTTAGTGATCAGTTGACCGTGAATGGAAGATATTTTTATGAAAAATANCTTCCATTCACGGTCAAAAATATCTATTGCTATTATTATTGATATTATTGTTGTCACAGATAAACGTTTGATAGCCTGGCCGATCCAGGTAATTACAGTAATTACCTGGATGCAGGTAATTATTGTTATTAATGTGAATGAAATAACTTTGTAGGTATATTGTTTTATATGTGAAATGTGTGATTGAAATGTATGTTAAATGTTCTTTTTTTAAACTTTTCATAGCAATGGCCTATTTGTGGTCTACTGAAGTGTGGCCAATCAGCGAAACGAGTTAAGAATTTGGAAATTTTTATTGAAATTTTGGAAATTTTTATGGGAAATTTTGGAAAATTTTTTCATTTCCTCGGGCTCCATTTCGGGTTATCCCACATCTCGCCCAGAATCTGCATGTGATTCTTCATGGTGGCGTTTGGCGCTATTCTTGAGTCGGCCGCTCCGGTTCGCCGGCTGTAACGTTGACAGCACAGCCACGAGAACGTGTGACGACGCACGTAGCTGTGTCCGAAGATGACGATCGTCGAGTAGACGTTCATGAATATGGGCATACTGAGACTGGCNAAATTTTTTGGAAAATTTGGAAATTTCTGAGATGTCTGCAGCCATCTGGGATAACTTAGAATGTCAGCAATTTCAGGAGTATTTCAGCAAGTCGTAGATTTCAACAAGATCTTTGCAGAGGATTCGGACGGACCGGATCATTACGGATCGCTGATCAAAGATTTATCACAAAGACCAGTGATCGGTGATCACTAATCAATCAATAGCCGATCACTGATCAAGCCGACCAGCTAGTTGGCTTAGGCTTTTGTGATCGCCAACCATAGGAAGTTAAAGGCATCTGGCTTAGAGACGTTAGAGAGTTTGGAATCGACGAATCGACGTTAGAGACATTTTGGAATCGACGGTGGATCAATTCGACGAATTCGATCAATTCGATCGATCACTGATCAATCAATAATCGATGGATCGCTAACCTTAGTGATAGCCAACCATTCGAAAGGATGCTCTGCGTGTTTGTCTTGCAGAATCCGCTTCATAATGAGCACAATGGACATATCGGTAAGACTGGTGATCGTATAGGCCAACGAGATCCCGGCCAAAAGACGTGCAGACTTGACGTTTTCACGTAGTTGGTAACGTGATGACAACGACTGCATATTGCTCGTGATACTCAGCCTGAAATTAATTTTAGGCCAATTTTTAGCGAACTATATATCACTCGCGGTACTACTTATAATTGACCTAAAATTGAATTTTTTGTGGTGAATCTTAATTGAACTCTACTAGACTGTATCATAGGTTGACTACTGCACAGTATTCGTGGTACTGTGCGGCAACCTGAAGCCTGAAATTGATTTTGGGTTTGGAAAAAAATTTGAAAAAATCATTTCTTACATTAGTTTACGTTTCGAGATGAAATAGATCAAGACGAACACGACGGCACACAAAATAATCAGTGGCATCGAGATATGCATTAAGCTGGTGCTTTTCACTACTCGCACGGTGAGCGAAGAGCAATAGGCCAACTGGGTTGCGTGCTTCGCATTCGGCGATCCTGACCAAGCCATCAGCTTC